TAAAAACTACTCGTGCGATTTTTACAAAGTTTGGCACTCTGGCATAATTTGAGTCGTAGATCCGAAATATGAAAAATAAATTGGAATGTTATTTCAGAAAAAGTACGATTTTTGTGTCAAAATACCTATGTTAGAACAATTGCTATATATAAATCTAATATATATTCGAAGTCACGCTTTCGAGACATGGAAAACGCAAGTTAAATTTCGACAATCGGTCCAGTAGAACGGGGGATATAGAACTGTCGCATTTTTTTGTCCTGTTGTATTTCAATATAAAATCAAATAATTTATGTGAGTGACGTACGGTTTTGTACGTCAAAATGTGGAAAATTAAATTTTTTTCTTGTCGTACCTTCGATGGCCCTAGATTATGCCCGCAGAACGATTTGAAAAAGCTTGGTGTGACTTGGCCAATGAATGTTCTGTTTTTGTTTGTTTAATTTCTGCATGTAATATTTAATTTTTTAATTAATTTACTATTGTAAGCCCCGTGTTGTACATTTGTGGTGCACAAGGAGATTGTGTGTATTCAAAATAAAATAATAATAATAATAATAATAATAATAATAATAAAACCACCTAGTCTAATCCTTAAGCCAGGAGACAAATTTTTGCCCCGGCTTCTGCTACAAATTCAGAAAGTGCAATCAGCTCAACATAAGACTAAAATAACAAAAATATATTGCAGACTTCAGCATGAAGTACAAAAGAAACTTAACACAAAATTACTTAAGCTTCGCTCAGGAATAGCAGACAACACGTAAATTATGATTATGTGCAAGAGACAAATTCTATTCTATCCTAGCATCTGGTTTCATGGATTTCACAAAAACATTATTTACTATGCAATAGCAAAAGCTAAACTTACCACGTCAGAGAATTATCATGTGCTTTGAATTTCGGAAGCTGTTAAATGGAAATTGCTTTAAAACAAGCTGTTAATGCCAATCCTTATCTTTTAAAACATAATAATAAGACACATTTTTAATTCAACCAAAACGTGTCAGTTAAAATAAACCTTACAATGTCGTTAAGTGTTCGCATAATTTTAGATCATATATTGGGTTGAAACATAAGTAATGGCCGCTTATGTTGTGTTTAAAATTACACGGTAAAAATAAAATGTATTAGCATGATGTTTTATGTTATTCGAAAGAGAATCTTTCCGTCTAGAAGATGGAGCATCTGATTTTTTTTGTCTGTAATTTTTGTTATTTTTCAGATCATTAAAATGGCGTGTCCAGTCGACAAAAATAAGCATTTTCAACATCTTCATTTTGCGTTTAATTGAGGCACCAATGTTGCAAAAGCTGCCCGAGAGATTTGTGAAGTGTATGGAGAAGGTGCAATGCCTGAAAGAAATGCAAGAAATTGGTTTGCCGAATTCAAAAATGCAAATTTCGACCTCGAAGGCGCTGCTCGTTCCAGACGACCAAACGAGTTTGATGAAGAGCGCTTAAATCAACTTCTGCACGAAGATGCGCGTCCAATCAATCGCTCGAGAGATAGCCGAACGAATGGGTTGTATCCAAATGACTATAGTTCCACATCTTGGATCAATGAGGAAAATTCAAAAATTCGGATATTATTGACAAATTTATTGTTTTTTGTTTTGTTAAAATAAAAATTTTTAAATTAAAAAATGTGATGTGTGCACCACGACTTCCTTGTACGGAATATTAAATTATACACATTTTTCTTGCATTTCATTTAAACTTATTGAACTGAATTAAATGTACTTCGTCGATAGCGCATGAACCACACTAGAATAAATTCACTCTTTAAAATTCACTACATTTGTTTACCATAGCGACACTCTCGCCCTAGGTTCACTTAACAGCGCTACATTTCAATCATTTTTTTTTTAACTCAGAATGCACAAATTTATATCATTTGAAGAATTATCTAATCGTTGCCACATGTTGTATTCTAATACTATAATAAATATAAAATGATGTATAAAGAACAACAACAAAAAAGAAACACACACATTTCTCATTCAAGTAACTCACTTCGCGACAAGGCAAAAATACATAAAAAATCAAAATGCCTGTATTGAAAATTATGAAGTAAATATTAAACACTTATTTCCGCGAATAAATTCCAGAATGGATTAAGCATGATTTAATTCGCAATAATAAAAAAGAAGGCGTTACCTTTGTTATTGCGAAGCTTACTTTCTCTAGATTGGCAACAAAACTACTATTCTGTTGTTTCAAATGTAAAGAAGCAATGGCCGACATGGCAAAAATTATTAGGCTTAGCGGCACTTAAACAAATTTTAAATTGTTCATAATTCCAAATCTTTTGCATACAGATTTACTAAAGGCATAAAAACCTTAACCGGAAGATAAGAAAAGCATAATTAAACCATTTTTAAAGCAAAAAATGCACAATTTACAAACATATAAGAATAAAGAAAGAGATCACTGAGCCGAATATCAGAGTGGATATATATACATATATTTACATACTTTTGGTGCTGCCGATTGCAACCAAAATACGAGGTGCACATCTACATGTTATAGCAGTCCTATATATAAAATTTCAACGTTCTGAGGCTACTCGTTTTTGAGTTAAGCGAGATACATACATACGTACTCACAGACGCCATGAAGAATTCTCTTCAGAATTCATTTTAAATTAGTTTTACAATTTTTTTTTGGGGGAAAATAGTCCTTTATTCTGTCCTTACGTACAGATGTCAAGCAAAACATTGTTAAATTGCATTCGATGGGGGGGGAAAGGGATATTTGCGTTGAAAATATGATACCTGTAACTTATTTTGGAAGTATGGAATTATTTTGTAAGTAAGATTATTGTTTAATAATTTGAATTTTAAGAATTTTCTAATTATTTTGAGAATGATGTCTATATAAATGAAATAATTATTAAATGGAAGAATATTAAATATTGTTAAATTTAATATTGAAATACCAAAGATTTAAGAAATTGGATAATCGCAATAAAATTTATATCCGAATTTAATTAAGAGTAAAATGTATTAAATTTGTTTGGAATTATGGAAAATGAATGTTATAGTTATCAATAATTTGTATGTTAAATATAAAGTATGTTGAGGGAGTACTGGTTCAGAAACAGAGGCCTGTTTTACCTCTGCATAACTGTTCGTTTCACCCTCCTCATATAATGTGGACTTTGAAGGCTCCCACTTTATTTAATTTTTTATATAGGTTTTCATTTTTTTTGCATGTAATGGAGTGCGATTTTTTTTATGAATGGAATGTACAGTGCAGTTCAAAAAGGCCAGTTGCCTTTAAACAAGGAACGGAGGCCTTTATAAGTAACTGCCAAAGCAACTCTTAACCAGTCATGAAAATTTAGTACATAAGTTCCGTTAAAGTGGTTGTGCTAAAATAGCTGGATATGTGTGGAAGTTGTGGGGGTCTTCCAGTTTATGTAAAATAAAGAAAGTACAAAATGTAACAATAAAAGTAAGAACCATAATTTCAATAATACTATTACAAATGATAAAATATTACTTATAAATGTGAAAATTAGTTTGGTGCAAAATTTTAAGATTTATGATTATTCGTAATAATTAATGGGTATATAAAATTTTTTAATTCTGATATTGTGTGTAAAAATTTTTGGAAATTCTTCCCTAAAGTATCAAAGTTGTAATACGAATGTTCCAGAAACAAGAACTTTTTACAGATTGGACTCAAATCTTAGTAAGACTTTAAAAATGTGCAATTGTTTAAAAAGAATATAATGCTTAAAATTGCTACTGAATTATAGTTTTACGACTGATAATTTTTTAATTGTTCAAAAGTTAATTCTATGTTTTGTATTTTCAAAATTATATCTCTCATATTTTGCTGCTCTAAGGTCTTTTTCTCTCAAAAAGACTTCTCTATCGCTCGCCTTTTTCTCTTTGAATGGGGGAGATGTGTATAAGATAAAAAATATGAAAGCAAACTTCTAATTTTAATTGGCTATAACCTCTTTTATTTTTTATTTATCACTCTATATTAAAAATAGCACTATAAGTCTAAACTTCACCATTCAAATTAATCATGCGATTCAACGTAACGCATAATGCAAATACTTTTTGCCGAATCAAATAATTGTAAACCAATTTTTTTTTAACTCGGAACTGAAGCGTTTTGACTCTCTCCTTCTTCCTCTGAATAACTACGCCCTTTTTCTCGCGTACACTCTTCTCCTGGCAAGACGCTTCTAATCACGCTTGCATTCAACAATGATTGAAAAATATCTTATTTACAGAAAGATGATCTGATGTGAATTATCCTGCAATAAAATTATGTTTCAAAACGGCTATATCTGGAAGTTTTTGGTTTATGCATTCATCCTTCCAACTACGCAATAAAGTGTTTTTCGGAGGCCAGAAATTAAGGTACGGTATTCTTTCATCAACGCATTTTTTAGACTAAGTATGATGCATAAGTACAGCTAATCTGTGATTGGTTAATTTTAGGTTTTTATGTAACATGGAAAGATGTCGAATTTGGGAGAACAGATGAATTTAGTGGGACAATACCAAATTTACAATAGTTAATTTTGAGGTCGCCAATCGTTTCTTATATCTTACATATATATATATATATATATATATATATATTTGTGATATATATATATATCACAAATTTTGATTACCAGTTAAATAAAAATTTTGATAATTATTATACATTTAATGTTCAGTTTTATTTCAACTGATTTTCTATGAATTTGTGATGAAGTACTCATCTGTAGATTAATATTCAAGTTAATGTTATGTTAGTTTAATGTTTAATAATATAAGTTTATGTAAGTTAATTTGTTTTAAATTTAGATTTTTGTAATCTTAATACCGAAAAATGGTTTAAATTTTATACAAATTATACTAAATTTTCTAAATGCTGATTCTTTTTATGAAATTTATTTTTTAAAACGCAGAAAAGCTTACCTATTTTTCTAACGGTTAAGATATTTATTTTTTGACAGTATTACAGATAGAACACATGCATACGAACCTGGCATTCAGTGGACGGTAGGTGAGTTCGAATCTCGCAACTGAAAAATTAGCGGAATTAAAATGCCAATGGACGCGAACAGCTGGGGGTCTCCAAGATATAAGAACTACAGAAACGTTCCACGACTCCTTGCATCCCTCTGTTACAGCTAAAAAATAAAATAAAATATGGTAGAATATAAATAAATAAACATTGAATTCACAGTTGAAAGAGAAAAAGGCCAGTGATTAATTATTCATTGTGTTTAAATTTTATTAATACTTCTATTAATATAATCAGGTTTAGGATAGTAGTGCATACATTATACATATAACAGCTGAAAATAACATAAAAAATCATCAATAACAACATTTACCACCACTTTTATTATAACTGATATAATATTCGGCACCACACCAGAAACACGAACCTGTAAAATCTCCGTTTCGAGAGATTTTACAGATTTTACAATTTAAAACACATAGTGCAAATTTGATTTTAAGAAGAATTAATTCTTATATATTCTTTTATCAGAAGAAGATCCCTATATTTAACTGTTCTATTCATTTATTAAAAGTTGAACAGAAAACGCATATAGGTAAAAACAGAACAAAAATTGGAGATAACTTAACTTTAAAATTAATACTGTTACTGATTTTGTATATATGTAAATTTTAGTGAAATTATCCGTAGAATTGTGGTAGCTGTTGTATAATATAACATAAAATGCCTTAAGAAAGCGGAGCTTTGCTATAAAAATAAGATCACACGGCCAGTCTACTTAACATTGAGTAAATGGCTATCTCGTTAAATTGGCGATATAACACCAAGCTGGCGATGGTTTTGGCAACAATTTTTGTCGCCAATTTCGGTGAGAAACCGACATGGTGCCCATTTGGCTGCATTTTGATCCGGTCCCTGTACAACTGCAACTGGTACTGTAATCGAATACCTGCCTACCAGTAATTTTAGGAAATAGAAGGTACTAGAGATTTCTCGGCGGCCGGTGAAAAGTAGCGAGCATCAGTTGTCAGTTATTAATCAGAACTGACTTCGGAGTATTGAGATCTCCATGAAAGCTTCACATTTTAGATGCGCTTTGTTTTGAGTTGTGTTTAATGTTCTTGGAATTTTGAAGTACTGATTGTGCTGTGTGATACTGAGAAGAGGTATACTAGAATTTTTGTGGAAATTCCAGAACTGTAAAATATTTCTTTTGGAAAAATAAATTTTATCAAGCTATCGACAGCTTTGTGTACGTTTAATCCATTACGAACCCGTACACACGCAGCAATTCGGTCTTCATTTAAATACGATAGTATTTATTCACATATACATTATAGTTTACTTCTGTGAATAATATTAACAAAATCGCAATCTGAAAACTTCGGATAATAATATTATAAGGAATTTCTTCCGCCTTCTTAGCATGCCTTCGTGGTGTACTGGTCAGCACGCTCAGCGCGTATTCGAGAGGTCCGTGGTTCGCGTCCCGGCGAGGGCATTGCTCATTTTTTCATCTCTCCTGCTTCGGAATAACCTAATGTTTCTACAGTGGCGCCCGAACTAAGGTGGTGGATAATGAATCTCCACCACCAGGATTTGGCGATTGGGTCCCCTAATCTCCAGTCGCTCTTTAAAAGGGGGTGTATATAAGGTATTTTCTCCAGCCTTCTTAGCATGCCTTTGTGGTGTAGTGGTCAGCACACTCGGAGCATTTTCGAGACATCCGTGGTTCGAGTCCCGGCGAGGGCATTGCTCATTTTTCCTCTCTCCTGTTTCGAAATAATTTAATGACTCTATAATACTTGAAAAAATTTACTGTTAAAGTTTCAAATTTTTTAATTAAAAATATAAAAATAATATATTTAAAAAAAACTGCAATCTGATCTTGCCATGAAAAATTAAATTTAACACCCGAAGCAATTTTAAGCTAAACCGTTACCATAGGGTTTACTAATTTAAGAATTCTCAGTTAATGATCTAGAAGACGAAATCTTATATTTAAAATAAGGTATCACAAATGGGAGAACCAAATGACAGAGAGAAAAGAACTAATTATATTATTTCACCCTAAATTAACTCTTATAAAGAATTCTTCACTTGTTTAACTATAAAAGACTTAATTAAACGACACAAAACTCCGCAATTATTTCGCTGCTGAATCAGTTTGCGTAAGAGGTTTGCAACAAATATTTCCTTCATGAGGCAATACTTCGCATTTTGTCAGGACAAGAGATCGGAGAAATAAAACAGTTAACATCTTGAAGTAATAATTAACACATTATTTAAAGCAGATTTAATAGAGTTTAATAGTGATTTACTCACTAAAAATTAATGAATATTAAAATATTCTAAGATGCATTATAGATATATTTATCTGGATTTTATTAAAATTATCAGATACTTTTAATGGTATTATATATATATACACCTGAATTATAATCCTGATGAATAATTTTTGTTATTACAGCTGTTATTGTTATTATTAGAGAATACAAATAGAACGGCGTTGATCTATTTTGCGATTGATTTGTCTCTTTCATTTAGATTCAATTCATAATAAATGGAATAAAATTGCCAGTAAAGAGAATAAAGTAAAGAAAATAATTGAAAAAAAAAAAAAAATTGAAAAAATTTGAAAGGTTTCAGATTTTAAATTACGTCCAAAAGGGTGTTTTTTTAACTTTTTGTGTCTTATCTTTATTTATTAATATCACGTTCTTCGAACTTAAACCATAAAATTCAATTCAACAGCTATATCGCAAAATAATTTTAAAATGAGCATATTTTGCGAATTTCCGATGCACAGTCTCGCGCGCTGGAGATAAAAATGCTTTTTTTTTTTTTTTTTTTTTCCTGTACAACGGTGCCGTTGCTCGGTATGAAATCCTTGAGTTTCTTAATCACATATTCGTTAAAGGTTTACAACATATTAAATCGATAATAAAACAAATTCCAAATTTGGGCTTCCAAATGCCCATATTCGCCAGAGGATTACGTCATTCAAAATTGGATAACCCTAGGTACCGTTGTTTTATCACAATGCAAGAATCATGCATACATTTATGCAGATTCTTCATTATTTAATTTCTTTAAATATAATACAGAGCGATAATATTTGGTGGCAATAATTTGAAAAGTGAAGCAACGCTTGTAGTGAATCAACGCAAAACGCCAAAAGGAAGTTAATAGCCCTTCTGGGCAAATTACCCCTTTCGACTAATAATACTGAAATTAAATGTTTTACATAAGACAAATGTTTTATCGAACTTTACCCGATTAAGTGAATTTTTTTATATGAAACTCATAAATGACGTTTTATTTTCATATTTGAAATGTACATAAATACATCTCTGAAATCAACTTAATCTTCATAAATGAAAATGCGTGAAAATACAATTGCTTTCGAAAGTTTAATGGAGAAGAAATAAAAATATATATATTTTTTTTTTAAATTCAGAAATGATGGAACAAAAATAACTTTTACAACGCATATTTAAAAAATATTAGCAAAAAAAGTGTCTCTTCTCCCACCCCAATCACGAGCTGGAATAAAACTGTGAAAATAATTATTTTCAACGCAAGACAAGAAATATTTCTTTTTTGAATCGTTTTATCTTCTGATGTCAGATTCTGATATAATTGAATTTGTGTTTCATCAAAATATAACCTTTGAACGATTTTTCAGGCGACAGAACTGCTGCGAATCCCATTAACGTAGTTTACTTGGTTTTAGCTGCGAATTGTAGCGACAAAGGTGACGAATGTGGAAAAAAAAATAAGATCTAGGAAAAGGTAATAATGCTATATTGCGATACAGCTGAAGACTCTTATATTAATTAAAATTAAATTTTAATTAATTAACATTTTATATTAATTAAATGCTTCTGAAACAGCGAAGAATTTTATAAAATATCTTAGATATATTAGAGAGATGTATGCATAGTATCACTGTAGTAAACTATAGTAACGAATGCAAACAACGCAGAAACATATCGATGTTTTCAATGATGCTTTTGTTCTCCTTTTAATCTCACATTTTCCTTTTAATTTCACATTTATCTGAAACAGCTATCATTGAAAACATTGATATAATATATACTGATACTACCCCCCCGGGGGTCGACGTAGAGAACTCTGCGAAGCTACTGGCTAGGATCTGTACCTAGGCAGTCTCGGCCACGGGGGTATAAAATTTATGAACTTGGTGGTTCTGAAGGCTCTGGGAAAGGTCACTCATTGGCCGGCCTCGGAGTCTGGCACGTCCTAGCGCGGCGTGGTGCTAGTAACCCGGGGGTTTTCCCCCGGGGTCGCTGGGTAATGTCCCGCTGCGACGGGCTCGCCCGAGCGATTGGCAGGAGCATTAGACGACCGGTGCTGCCTGGTGTCTTATCCAGGTGGTGCGCGGCTCTACTGGAGGGTAATAGTGGAGGTTGAACCTCCACGACGTGCCCAAAGGTAGAGTCGACCTGTAGTGAGATTAAGTTACTCGGAACAGGGAAGCCCAAACGCCATACTGATACTACGCTGCTCAAAGCTAAGGGTAGTTGAAAATTGTGTTTTTGCGAGGAGTCAGACAATAAAGAGCACATGAGAAGAATAACTCTGATTTTTTTACAAATGAGAAAACTAAGAGTTTAATTTATGTCAATTAATTAGAAGCAATTAGAGTTTAATGTAAATTAGAGTTTAATGTCAATTAGAGTTTAATTTATGTTAATCAATAACTTTACTTCTAAAATGAGAGTTCATTTGCGCTGCAAGCAGTATATCTTTAACTCAACCTATCTCTAATATCCGTTTCCTTTTTTATTAAACACTGGTGGGCAAGCCCGACAGATGTGCAAGGTGCAGCTAAAGCAAAGTCTGTTAAGTTCTATATACACCTGAAAAGAAGATGTATAAAAAGAATTTTAGTATGAATGAAATCAGTTCATTGTTTCCAAGCAACAACCAATTCGTAAATACTTTTTGTCTTGCCAAACCAGGAAACAAAATCTTTTGACATTTCAGGTTGATACGTATAAGTCATGATTTAAATTTAATCTAATTTAACAAAATTTTCTCAATATCAATAAAAGAATCAACGTGGCAATAACATATCGCGTCAATTATCTTAACGTGAAACAAAAATGTTGCCAAAAGCAGCTATATATTTAAAATGTTGAGA